CACGGGCTTCAGTTGAAATTGGAAGATGATACAAATTAAGTCCAAAAATTTATATTATTCTGCTCCAAACTTGGGTCTCAGATTGTTGACCAGTGTGTCTTGGAATAAGCCAGGATCACTGCACTCTGTGCGAAGTCCCCCCGTTTAATAAACAAACAAATAAAGCAAAAAGATGCGATGAGGAGTATACATTCATTTGTTTTAGACCAAATGTAGACTCGAACACAACTGATAGACGAATGCCATGAAGAGACCTTGCGTCACATATGGCAAGTGAATGATTGGCTACAATAGGACACATGCAGCCACACAGTGAAACAGAAAAAGCTGAGCATTACATAGTAAATAAAATATATGATATGCCCCCCAGGCAATGTGATATTTTTCGTGTGATTTTCATGCCACTTTATATAAATAGGGTAATATTCTTGTACAAGAATAGAAAATGTTTTGCTGATCCCTGCATTGATATGAAAGGTTTTACATTCCCAGCCACCTGTCCTCCAAACCTTTGCCAAAACACCTCGGGTGGTAAAAGAGCAGAAAAAATAATGTGCCAGTTAGCCTTCATTGACATTACACTCATTTTAAATCAATTCTACCTTCGGAGATTAGTTTCAAGGAAACTCACACTCGTCAACAACATCGCCTTAAAAAGAAAAAAAAGAAAAAAATCGACGCTTTGGACAATAGCCCTTCTTCATAGAAAAACAAGGAAGATGCGATGCAAAACCAGAAAGCTCTTGGGAGAATATGTCCCTGGTCTGTCCGACACAAGAGAAAATACTTTAAGGCTACAGTCAAGATGAACACCCTCGGCGACATCACTGTAGCACGCTAACAGACAATGATTTGACGATCATTTTCTTAAGTGCAGGTAATATCCCTTAATTTATAAAGTTTGGTTTACGAAATTTCGCATTTAAGCAATTGACAAATTTGGAACACTTTCCGATTAACGAAATCAAATTTCCACGTTCACGAAATTTCACATGATATGCTCACGTGAACAAACAAAAATCATCAGAATCAGACTATGTATTTATATTGGAGGAATCCGATGATCTATAAAGCTCTTTTTCACCACCCAGGAGAGTGCTTCATACATCTGCGACAGTAAAACGGTATCCCTGCAGTCCAATAGCCTGCAAATCACATTTACAGTCATTCCAACATCTTTTGGTAAGTCCCCTAAAAAGGTTAATTGTTTTCGTCTTAAAACAATAATGATTGAGTCGTTTTAATATTTATGTACTTTTTTTGTATTGTGAAAAGTGATATAGGTTTATATTTTTGGGTTAGGAGTAAAGTTGGAAAGACTGTCCAAAACACATCCCTGATTTTTTTGCATTCAATTAATGGGAAAAGCTATTCCGAAACACAAATAAATCGTTTGACACGTGTCTTTTTTGAAGACCATAATCTAGGGATACCTGTATTTCTCCCATGAATTAAGCTTCATACTCGTGCTGGAGGAGACTCCGTATGCATCCGCAAGATGCATTTCTGCGTTTTTGCAACCAGCAGAAAGTTCGGTGGCTCGGCTAATGAACTGGGCTCGCCTGCTGAGCCCAGGTTCCCATGGCAGCCCGACCAGGCTGACCTGACGCTGAGTGGGCTCAAAGGGCAGGCTCAGGAGCTCATCTATCATGCTGAGCCACACACACTTACACCTGAGCCATCACCAGCGGTCAATACAGAAATAATGTGATGCGTCGTCCACGCTGTCCCTTGCTTCGTTCAGCTTCAGGGCCATACGTTTTTGATAACAAACAAATAAAAACACTGGATAATTACGACAATCACGAATGTATATGGGATATCCTAACCTATTATACCTCACTGGGATTTTCCGGGTAGGATGGGGATGGTTTAGTTTTATTCTGTATGTATTTTGGGTCATTTTTTTGCCTTTCCTGCACTTTGCACTCCCATCGAGTTGTATTGTTTGTTGTTATAATATTCTTACCCCGTGCCCCTACTGGGCATCTGTGAAAAAGAGCTTTATCGCTAATCGGATTCCTCCAGTATATATAAATATTCTGATTCTGATTTCATCTTTCTTCAGTCACTGCCAATCGCATTCATATATCTGTCACGGTCCCAGTACGTTGTTGTTTTACAGCTATGATAAAAAAATGCCAGTAGAGTAGATTGTTATTTGTTATTTCTTTGCAGGTTTACACGTGTAACATTTAACACATATCTCTTTCTGAACTAGATAAACGAAGTGTTGTGTAAAACAACGTTTTTGAGAAGGCTGGGGAGCTCTGAGCGGTCACGTACAATTAGTTAATGGCCTCAGACCAATCACCAATTACTGCCCAGAAAAAAAACTTCATCACATTATGGGGATTTTTATTGGGGTTTTTCCCCCCAAATTTATTTCAACTCGTTGGTTTGTGGCCTGGCATACTGAATAACTAAGAACATTAATGCTATGAGGATACGTTTCCAGCCTTCATAACCTGCTATTTCATACTATTCACATTGTAAACAAAGACACTTTATATTGAAAATAACAATATATTTTATACTGTACAGTATTAAAAGAGAAAAAAACTGACATAAATAAGGGAAACAGTGAAGAAACACAATTTTATTCGTATTTATTGAGTACCGGAGGTCGGACGGTTAATTAATTATTTTGTGATTTCAGCGTTTGCTTATTTTATTTTTACCATTAAAATAATTGTGATGAATCCAAAGTTCTTCTACTGAAACTTCGTATGTCCAATATCACATATCGAGGTATTACTGTAGACTCAAAAACAGCAAATAGACAGCCGAAACATACTTCCTCTATTGCCCCAATAGACAGCTCATTTTCCAGGGGGTGGCCAACGCACATCGTGATTTAAAACTGGTGATTAAGTGTACAACATTCTCTGGCACGTGACGTGACGGGTACTGCAAAATTCGACCATGTGCGTCCATTGCTCGCTGAGCAGCATTGGCTTCCAGTTTGCCGAACCAATACATTATAAGGTTGCACTCATCACACATAAAGTACTTGCTACAAACGAACCACAACACCTTGCTGACCTCGTCAAGGAGCAGGAACCACCAAGCACTTCCCGTCATCCTGGCAGTGGCTTTTCGTTAACCGTCGAACAACAAAAGAGCGCTTTCAGGTGCACTTCTGTGGCCATCTGGAACACATTTCCTTCTGATATCTAAGGAAGCCAGTGGACATATGCATTTTAAAAAATCTACATTGAAAACTCGTTTCTTTAGAACTGCTTTTTGTTTAGTTTGTTGTTATTTCCCCGCACCTCCGATTAGCAGTTGGCTATGTACGGTGCGAAAGAAGTTCGACACACACATACATATTACCCCTTTAAGATTTACCGACCCCACATCCAAGTCTGTGGTTTAGAAATATAAGCTGTGCCCTCTGTGTCCCAATATTAATATTGTAACACCCTTTTCAGTCCTTGTACAAAAGATTTCTCAGGATAAAGTAAACACCCAGTATTGCAGTGAAAGCATTGTAATCAGTGAGGGTAGAATATAATTCAGGTGTCAAAGCAAGATAAGTGGGTAAGTGAAATACCGCATCCAGAGAAAACCCACACAATGTGCTAATTCTAAAAAAGCTATAAGTGCAACTTGCTTGATACATTGTCATCTATTCGCCACACCACTCCTGATAAATGCCTCCTGCAACAAAGAACTCAGACCTCTAATAGAGCCGTCTTCACAGCAATAATGAGGCCTATTCACAGTGGACATTGCCTTGGCTAACAATAATTCACATTCTCATGAGCCTGTCGGGTGTTTTATGAACAACATCACACTTTATAATGGGAAAAAAACAACAAAGGATGAATCATGGTTCTTTTACTGTTCCCCAGTGGGCATGTTGTGGCCAGACATTTTCTGGAGTGAAACTTATTTTAACAAGTTTTACAGAAGGGTGGTTTGAGATTGAAATAACTGCTGTGGTTGGTCGGAGGGAATAGAGAAGACCCTCACAACATACTGAGTCGTTATCGAAATGTATACTAAACAAATGTATACATAATTGATTACAATACAGTACACACAGATACAATTACAAAACTACTTATCAATAACTCACAAATTTGACTCGTGAGCGAATTTTATAAAAGGACTTTTTTTATCTACAGATTACTGCCAAACATCAAATATGCTGGCAGCAGCTACAGCTTACAATATAAAGAGAATACACACGGGCATCATGTTATTGTTTGTGACCAGAAACTATTTTATCGTCAATTTTAATCTATACAGCCTTTGTTACATGAATCTTGAAGTTGTCAGTAATTTAAGTAGACAACCACTCAGACTGTGGCTGTCATTTTCATCACCTTACATTGAGGCCTGACTTTTACACTAGCAAACAATCAATGACAGCAACGGAACGTCCAATTAATAAAATGTATTACGATGCGAAAATAACCTTAGGTAATAGTACAATTATTATCACTATTGTGAACAATCTATACTGGATGACAATATTAATAAAATTCTGAAAAAATCTCTTCCAGGATAGGTCCCATTTGCAATGTTTGAAATATTTTATTTTTGCATAGTCAGGAGAAATGTGACAGTAAGGACAGAATAAAACTAAGTATTGAAAATGAGAATTATTATAATAATTCTCAAAGTTACACGGACACTTCTTGTTCATAAAACGACTTGCTGTACTGCCTAATATATACATAGAAAACTTATTTCTTTAGAACTGGTTTTTGTGTTGAGTGTGTTGTTCCTTCGCAGCACTTCCAATTATTAGCACGGTTGGTTACGTACGGTGTGAAAGAAGTTCAACATACATACAGGCAGCTGCTAAAAACCGTCCAGTCATGGCGTGGGCTTGTTGAGGCCTTATGCTCCACAGGGAGCGAAGAGGAGTAAGTAACGCATACAGGCACCCCGTGCACACAAACCAACACACGTGGCTTCAGGGCCACAAGGCTTCAGGGTGAAGCCACAAGGCTTCTTCAGGGTGCAGGGGACGCGTTGGGACTCACCCAGCCAGCCGCGGTTGAGGTAGACAGACACGAACACTGGGGGCACCGTGAAGAAGTCCACAATGGAGTTTACCTCCAGCCAGAACCACAGCTTGTCGTTTGCTGCGATGAACTGCCCACAAACAAAGAAAGCACAAAAAACTAATGAGCACAGCCCCTGCAATAGGCGGAACGTTGAATAACGTCTGTCCTGTTTTCGTGATGTGGATACTCTTTTTTTGTATCTGGGTTGCACAGTGCAAAAATCGTATTACGCCGACGATCACTGAACAGCAATTAAGCACAAATACATTTGAGGCAGATGCGTTATTAGTGCTGTAGTCTGTGCCGTCTATTTGTTATACACGCAGGATGTGACTGATTTAACGCCACGTAAAAATGGTTATTCTGTCTCAATATAGCCATTTTCAGTTTTAACTATCGTCCGCCACGATGGAGCGATGGCCAATGCCGCCCTCGATCTGGATTCATCACGAACACTTACACAAATGACCAGTTTCACTGCAGTATGTACGATATACAATGATACATTGCACACCATTTTCATATCGTTTGTTTAATATAACAACGGAATATACCCATTATAATCATTGTAATTTTATTTCATTTTTTTCAATTTGCTGACAAAAATATTTATGAGCTAAAATAATAACTAGATTTACATTAAGATTAGCATGAGTCATACCCCGGAAATTATATGGCATCATCATTTACACAGATAATTTCATTATGTATTGTATCACAAACAGCACGTTCATTATAACCATTACATTTTGTAAAGTTGCAATTATGAGAAGACTTATCGCTGGCTTATATAAGTTACATAGTTATTAGTTACTGAAAATAAAACAAAGCAAACAAAAACAATATAATAAAATACAAAATACACCATCACAAAGTTTTAGCAAACTAATCTTGCAATAATTGTCTCGTTGTGAAATTTTATATCGGATCGTATAGTGCGGCAACCCTGGCATGTACGTACGAACATAACTGGGTCGAGCGGTGGTCAGCACGCTGCACAATGATCCCGGCGACTCGGGTTCAATTTCTTGCCATCGCTAACATCAGTGCCAAGTGATATCTCCAAATTGACACGGGTGGCTACGTACGAAAGAAGTTTAAACTAACATACATATATATCTGAAAAAGTTCCTGCCCTCCCTCCATTATTCAATCCACACTGGTTTTTGTCGTGAAGTATCGTAAAAAATGTATATCCTTCGACCAAACATGACGTGGGGAGACCTTCATCAAATGCGTAAATTAGATGGTTTTAGTACGGTTAAAGAAGGGACAGTAATTCAGTCTTCCTGTGAGGTCAGAAATTTGGGTGTTATCCTGGACCCCAGGTTGACATGTAAGGCCCACGTACTGTACATAATATTACCAAAATCTCGTTTTTCTATTTATGAAAGATATCTCAACTTAGACCCCCATACTGTCCCTTCCCTGATGTTGAGAGGCTGGTGCATGCCTTTATTGAATCAAGGTTGGATAACTGCAATGCCTTGCTTCCTGGCGTTTCTAAAAGTGTTTTAAATAGACTACAATATATATTAAAAACTCAGCTGCCTGGGTTTTCACAAAGATCTAAATCATGTGATCATATCACTCCTATTCTTTCCTCCCTGCATTGGCTCCCTATAAAGTACAGAATCGACTTTACGATTCTTCTTCTCACGTTTAAAGCCTTTGACGAGCTGGCTCCGAAATATCTGACCGATTTACTTAAGTTGTATATTCCACTGCGTAAACTTAGATCTGCTGATGAATATGGAGTCAGACCAGACGTTGTTGTTCTATGGGAGAAGACGGAGCTTTTTACAGCCAGACTCTGCGATTCTGGAATTCCCTTTCTCGGTCCATTAGGGAATCTGAGTCTGTTACACTTTTTCTAAATCGCGTCTTAAAACTCACCTGTTTTTACACACAGACTTTTTCAGTAACTTAAGCTTCATGCAAAACGCTTTGAGGCCTTGTAAGAATTGTTCTATAGAAGACCGAGTTTATTATTATTATTATCCATTGGTTGATTGAGAATGGCTAGACATTTTTTAGGTTTTTTTTACGTAATGATAAACTTACTACACATTAATTCGAATCCTGCAATGAGTGGTCCAATCTGGGTTTCGGAAGCCCTGAGCAGTGTAGGAAGAGTGAAAACCCTTGGCATTCATTTTCATGCAATGCGCTACGAAAAAATATTTTTGACGAGATGGTGATCAGAATTTAAGAACAGTGGCACCGTGGTGATCACTAATCTCAACACAAGTACTGCGTTACGCTCATCTGCATAGGCATTCTTGAACAAGAAGTGAGTATTCCAGATTTCTATGAAGCCATTGTCAACTTCCCACAAAGACACCAATCATATCCACTCAACCCTCGACTGCAGAGCTGTGCCTCTTGAGACAGTCATATGCCTTCCTCATCTACTCCCCACAAACATTGTGTAATGACCGAAAAGTTACCCCAAGCCATATACAGCCTAAAGGCTATTAAAAAATAAACGAAGGTCTCTGATTGGAAGAAAGAGGCCTCCACGGTGATTGGTCAGGAGGCAGACTTTAAAAGGGATTGGAGGAATAAGGGTTGAACGAGAACATGGGAAAACAGAAAGGATCCGTTAAAGGGAATGGACAGGGATTGGCTAAAGGTAAAAAGCAAGGACATGAAGGTTCGAGAAAGGCGGTTGAGTGATCTGTAAGGGGACAGCACGAGGATTGGGGATGCTCGGAGGAAGATACAAGCACGGAAGACGAGAACGAAGCCTCGGGGTCCCTTATTGTGGAAGTCTTTCAATAAAAGTGGCCCTTCTTATTACTTTCTCGTCGGAGTCATTACAAATGTAAGGCTCACCAACCGTTTGCCTCTATTGAGCACCAATCGCAAAAAATCCCACGCAACGAAGATCGCTGTCGCCAGGCGGTGGTGGTGCATGGCTGTGATCCAGCACTGTGGAGGCGAGGGTTGGTGGATCAGTACACAAACGTTGTGAAACTCACCGCCGCTAGACCTGAGCTCCTGTTCACCTGATGATGCTGGATGTAACCTACAGCGAATGTTGGCAGCCATTTAAGAGATTTCCCCGCTATGACGACAACAACACCGGTGGTCCTGCTGAAGCAGTAATACATTTCGCACGTTTGATTCAAGCGACACGTTTATGCGTTGGCTGTGTCAGGTGGAGGATGGTTTACGATGCACACTTTCGCACGATGACCTAACCCAAAAGAAACCAATTATGATTCAGAATGAAGGTACAGCAAAATGCGGACTAATATCATCCGTCCCTTCTGCATGGGATAGTGTTGCCCCCTCGCATGCATGGGTTTTCTCCAGGTGCCCTGGTTTCTTCTCACATGTATAAACACTCATTAATTGGAAGGACGTAATAAACTATTTCGGATCTTAACTGATTGTGTTCACGTTTACGGTGACTTTCAGACCGCAGTCCACTCACTGGCATTGACTATATATCTTGTATTCTCCGCAGGGAATGGATTCTTTGCTCCGCTGCAAGTCTTCTACCACCACTCTCCCATTGACATATTTCGTTGCTTCCTCTTAGTATCTTTCACGCGACGGTCAATGGTATAGTGTATAGCAGATTGTATAATAATAAATAGTATAAAATGGTAATGTTTAATACAATGTATAAGGTAATATATAGTATCGTAATTGTATAGTGAATATACAGCAGTGTGGTATACAGTAGGGTGGGTAGAATAATACATAGTGTAATATTACAATGTATAGTCGAAGGTATAGAGTGGTGTATAGTAATGTAGTATATAATTTAATGTTGGCTTTGTCTATGGCAGTATATAGTACGGGGTAGACCCGTGTGATGTAAGAGAAAAAAGTTTAGCTGGAAGCATATTATATTTTTTGCGACATAGAATTGTAATGTATTACTTACTGTTAGTAGCTCAGCTTATTGGAGAGTATATTTACTATACTGATGATACTATGTAGTTTATACTTTAGTTTTTTACGTGGTGGTTTAGTTACTGCAGCTACATACTATTAACATTCCTTCCCTTTTTTAATGCTACCCCTATCCCCTCCCTTTGATGCTGCTAATCCTGCATAATGCACGGGCATAATATGACTTTGAAACCCCCCGCCCACCTCCTACGCATTTCACAAGTAGTGACTAATCCCATATCTGCATTTCCCATAAATATGCTAAATTCCTCTTGATATGCAAATTATTTTGTCAAGGCTCTCTTCCCCCTCCAACTAGCTTAAATATACGCTCCAAGCCTGGGGTGTTTCATTCAGACGCTGTCTTCCCGACAGACCTGTTCTTCACCTGAGGACGGCTGCTTGCGTTGTGGCCGAAACGTCGTGATAATTATTTTATTATGTTTTATTTTTATTATTTTATTATTTCCCTTCTACGTGACTTTACCGAAAGAACCAAGAAGACTCATTAATCGGCCAATGACAACTTAAAATATTGAGGACCGCAGAGCTTGAGTCATTATTGACAAGCAGGATGGCTGCTGTCATCCCGCTTGTCTGTGGTTCTTGGCGCCTCAGAGTCATTACTGTGTGGCGCATTACAAGTTGATATTCTTGAAATACCAATCATCATTCCTGAATTCGAGAGCTCAGAAACTGGGATTTGAACCGATAACCGTTTGGCTTTTGAGACAGGTGGCCTTGCCGCAGTTGCCAGCGTTGCTATCAATCGGCGCACGCAGTAACGCCTGGACAACGCGAGCACGAGGCGATCTCCTCACCCGCAGCCCGAAGTAGAGGAGGAAGAACACGTTGAGGCCCATGTCGATCTGCAGCGCGATGTTCGTGTTGAAATACTGGCACAGCTCGATGGGGCTGAGAAGGGCACGCACAACGCAGCAGAGGCGCACGCACCGTGACAATGTGTCCACCGATCGGGAGAAATTTGATTTCAACTGAATTTCGGGAGCAGCCAGGGCAGTGAATCACAGCTCGCTTCAACCCAACCGTAATTCCACCCCCCTACAACTGCAATCAAAGGAGTCTCTTTACATTGATAAAACTAAACACATTATTTGGTGATGCTGCTGCGTTTGGCAGTGATGGAACAAATGCAATTAACAAACATACACACACATTTGTCAATTAAAAAAATACCCCACTGCGTGGCTTTTAAAGGGACAAATGTATAGGAGGCAACGCTTTAGGCAATGGCTGTTTTTCACGGCACAATTAAATAAATACAAATACACGACAACGGTAGAAAATGACCGGAACTAGAAACGTCACCTATTCTATGTTTTTTTTTCCTTTTAAAGCCACAGTGGTATTAATGAAGGTGTTGCATTCTTTATTTCCAAAGTGTTGAGAGAAAGAGATACCTCGACAACATACGCACCTGGTAGGGCTAAATAGTCGCGATGTCCAGATGATAACACGGAGAGAAGAGGAGGGAAAAAGAACAAGCTTGATTAATCAGCAAGCGCGATAGTACTCTGTGTGGTGGAGTGTAATGTAACACTAGTAAATAAATAAACAAGTGCCTTCAATGTACTTGGTAATGACAGCATAATTGTTCTTTAAAAGCCTGATAATTGTTATTTAATAGCCTGATAAATCACGATAGAGTATTGACAGCAGTAATACCGAGCGAGCGACACATGGATGACCCAAGACAATTACAAACACAGGTTATGAGTATTCCGATGATATCAATTATGATTAATGTGATGAAAACAAGCAATTATGCTTTAATTATTTACGAAATTGGAATAATTTCGAGTAACATTGTCATGAATTTCACAATATGACAATACTGTGATCATTCGGATATATGATGATGGTATTATTATTATTTTTTGTCATTACTAGATTATTTGTCATATTCAAAATATCCTGTTTCCTATCAGAACTGGTCTATCTCTCAGTATGCCCCAGACAGTACGAGACCCATAGAAAAGATTTAAAGTTCATCATTTTTTGTACCTCTATTTTTCTTGTTTATTGTAAATATATTTAATTATTTTCATTGTACATTCTTAAATATGTGAATATATAAAGTCTGTCAGTTTAACACGTAGGCTTTCACGACCAACTCTGGCTGTCGCCTGATGATGCTAGGTGTAATTACTGGCGAAACGTCGTACTCGAATTGTAAATGTTGTGGCTTGACTCTCCAACACACCGGTGTGCTGTACTAGTAACAAATTGGCATGTTCTGTTTACCTGACAACCCTTACTAGTTGTCTGTGTCGGGTAATGGCGGGTTTAACGACATGTATATTTATACTATGGGGACCTCATTTGCCAGTAAAAATATGATAATTGGTTCTTTACCCTTCTATCTGGCAACAAAACTGACACCTTTTTACAAGGAGTCATGTTTGCATAGACCACAATACCTGCAGTCATAAATACAAACAAAAGACATAACTCTGATAATGTGCACTGTCCTTGAAGTTGATTGGTCCACACCCGAGACAGCTTTCCTTCGAGCCTAGTCTCACATGGGTTGGACCAGAAGACGCCAAAAGGCGCACAACTCAAAGACAATGCACCATCAGAGTATGAGAGCTCGGGGCAAGCATCTACACTATGGGGACCTCATTTGCCAGTAAAAATATGATAATTGGTTCTTTACCCTTCTATCTGGCAACAAAACTGACACCTTTTTACAAGGAGTCATGTTTGCATAGACCACAATACCTGCAGGTATTGTGGAGTCATGTTTGCATAGACCACAATACCTGCAGGTATTGTGGTCTATGCAAACATGACTCCTTGTAAAAAGGTGTCAGTTTTGTTGCCAGATAGAAGGGTAAAGAACCAATTATCATGTATATTTATGCGATCTAAAAAAAAACTCTATTATGGATCTAAAGTCTGTGCTTCCCGGTTTTGCTGAGTGAAACGTGAATGATGCCCTTTGCCCAGTTCGGGCCAGCTGGCTCAAAAATCTAAATAAACTATAAACACAGTACTGTATATGGAGTCAGAATCAGAATATGTATTATGCTGGAGGAATCCAATGAGCTATAAAGCTATTTTGCACAGATGTCCAGGTAGGGGCTGGTCAGAACGTTACAACAACAAACAATACAAAAACACGATTAGAGTATAGGAAAGGTAAACAAATCACTTTTAAAAAACATACAAATAAAACTAAACTTTTTTTTTAATCTTACCCGCTAAAGCTCACTGAGCTATTAGCTTATTTTTTCAGAAGCAACCTGGGCACAAATGATAGCTGAACGAAGTGACTCATGTGGAAATTTACAGCAGCATATTAATCGAAATAATCTGGACGCAAGTTGCTAAAAGTGATTGGAAAAACCGGAGGACGCGGAGAAAAAAATCTACGCGACCACGGGGAGAGACAGAGACATGCAAACTTAAAATCTACGGACCAATGCAATAACTAAGACGGTGACAACTGTAATGGCGGGTTTAATTTACCGAGCACTACCTGTGACTCCAGGGAGCACCGACTATGAGTTGAAAACAAAGCTAATGTTTATAATCAAACTGAACGGATATGAGCGAGAAGACTCTGAGGAAATATCATACATCAGACTTTTTAATTATCGATCCACATGTACCCTCGTGGAATTTCACGGGTCTCATCGACTCAGCAACTGACTCTGAGCAACTCATCCATCCAATAAGGGTGAATTAGGAAAGGTGAATTTGGCAATGGAAACACTCATGAGGCACGCTATAGCGGAAATGTCTCATCGACATGCCCTGTCCCATCGGAACGGTGCGTCTATTTAACTACCTATGGAATTACTTCCAATCAATGCTGGGCTTCACTTTAAATCAATTTGGAAATGATTTCTGTTGAGCCACTAAGCTAATGTTTATAATCAAACAGGTTTGAGAAAAAAAATCAATGGTGTCGTCTAGAAACTGTCATCCCATCCTGTCTCCTGCGTCCTCTTTCCCCTTCTCCATCCATCCATCGGGGGCAGTGGCAAATAAACGCACAGCTCCAGTTGTTCAGCTCACCACCAGGCCGGATTAACCTTCACATGTCAAAAGACCTTCACATGTCAAAACACCGCAGTGCCTCCTCGTGCCAGACACAACATTCAATTGCAGAGGGCATTACGAACCAATCGCACCGTTGCCAACGACACGCCGTCACCACTTCCCCCTATTAAATCCCACGTGACGATGGGTGTCAATTTAGCAATAGCCGCGCAGCTGTCCGATGCAGGTCTGCCCCTGTGTGTGTCTCTACGGTGCCAGGCGTACACGCGTACGCGTATTCCGCGCCCCCTTGCCGCTGCTACGCTTACAAAGCAGAGGATGAGCGCGCGCATGCTCTGACCGTGCGGGAAACCCCGCAGTCACGTCTAACGGCGGTCACCGAGCCAACCTTCGGCACAATCGGTACATTGTATAGACCGTCATGAGGTTGGTGCTTAAGGACGGAAAGCCCTGTTCCGATACAAACGGATACAACCCGGGTGGCGCGCTTCGCTTCGGGGATTATATTTCACAGAGGTGGACCCACGGCGGAGCATCACAAAGACAGCGGCGGACAAAGCGCGTGTCTTTTCATTAAACGTGCATAAACCCATCGGACCGCTCGCTCCGATAAGCGAAAACCTGTTAATGCTTCTATTATAGCACCGCTTGGTTTCCATGACCTTGATACCGATGAAAGGGGGGATCTCACGGTCGCTGCAAGTGCACGGTGAGGCTCTGCCGCAGGGATGGGTGGCCTATCCGAAACGGCGACTGTTTTCACTTTGCACTGGTGTCTCTATGTTGCATTGAACATTCGACCTGTCCAAAGAGATGTACAGTAGTATTATTATTATTGTGAGACAAAACAAAAAGTGTCCCCGCTCAGAACGAGCACTCGTCTTCATTTGGCGGACATCAGCCACCGGTGGGAAATTAATTCCTTCGGTCGAGGCCCGTTTTCTCCAAAGGCAGACCGACCACTGTTGACTTCCCACAAAGTGGCACTCATTTGATCGAATTTGTATCGATTTAAGGGCCGAGTTGACCCTCCGCTGGGTTTTAATGTCACAATCTTTCGTGGGTCGGTCACTGTAACCGTGTTCATAGCCACATCCTTCGAGATAATCAGGCGGAAAATGCTTGAAGACCACATTGTGCACACAGTTCAATTGAAATGTCACTGCCCATTATTGGCCAATTCCATCAAAGTGAATTTTTTTTTTATATCTGGCTCTAAATTACAGCAGGTACAGTATGTGCCAGGCAAGATGCATACGCTATAGGCTACTGCCTGAAACTTAATTAAAATATTCGCCTAATTACAGATTCAATCTATGCGAGATTTACTGAAGCAATACACCTTATGAAAAGTACTCATTTGGGGCCGCGAATAAAACATCCTGATTAATTTACAAATACATTTCACTGAAAAGTGAATTTAAGATAATAAAATGCTCCGGAACACTGCATGTCTGCCCAAGTGTGTAATTATAGCGGTTAGTGTGGAGCGGTAGTGTAGCGTTTAGCGCGCTGCACTACGAACCCAGCATCCCGAGTTCGATTCCCGCTCACGGCCAACACCAGTGACGATTATCTGAACCGGTCCTGGGCCTCCCTTAAGTCGACTCAGCCTCAAATGAGTACCTGGTGAGGCATGTAAAACGTCACTACTGGGGTGATAAAGGTGGCCAGGCGTGGCGTTGGCCACCCACCCCCTCGTGTGCTGTGCCGGCCTTCATAGGTGTTCGCTAACAGCACTTGCCCCGACAGTCTGTTAAGGCTACACGGATGATCTTTGTCTTTGTAATTATATCATAATGAACTGGAACGTCAAGCGTGGGTATCAACTTAGTTTACTCACAATGTCTTATTTTGACCGTTGTTTCGTTTTCATTAATTATTATGCAAACAATTTCCCCATATCTGTAATTGCATATTGACCATGTGCCACAACCGAAACCGCACTGCAAGTAGCACGATATGACATCCAAATGACTGTATTCTGGCAAAAGTATATACAATTTCTGAACACATATACAGCAATCAAGTGTTATTACAATCATGGCAAAGATGAAGCCACAACGTATATACCTACAAGACACCACAACAACATGAAGTGCCATGGTGGCAAAATGTTTACTACCTCGTCTGGTATACAGGAGGTCATGGGTTCAATCTCAACACTGACGCCTGTATATTTAGAATTTGCGTGTCTCTCTACCCGGGTCCTCCGTTTTTTTCCTGCACATTTAACAGCATATTTTTTGAGTATTTGTCTGCTGTACATTTCCGCATGATAAGCCACTTTGTATAGCTATCATTTGTGACCAGGTCACTTGTAAAAAATAGCTATATAGCCCAGTGAGTCTTACCTGGTAAGATAAAATAAAAATACGTTAATTTACATTTCATCCTCTAGCTGATAATTATACAAAAGGCAAGTATTTCCCATTTCAGAACTATTTGATGTGCTGTTCCTATTTTGGTGTTTGCTGGTCTGACACTGGTGAGACAAGGCCATAAAGAAGGCCGTCTCGGGTGTAGACAAATCAGTTTCAAAGACAATGAAAATATTATCAGAGCACGTTTGTTTGCATGTTTTGCCACAAGTACGTGTGGTTAATGCAGTCTTGAAAACTATCTATTTTATCTTTGAACATCTTAACACCTGTGTTATTGCCAGAAAGAGTAAAACCTATTCTTATTTTTCATAATTTGATGTGCCATCACCAAAAAAGATTATTGTGGGCACCAAATGGGATTCAATATTCAAGCCACTAACCCAGTGGCCTGTATGATGCTAATGCTGTTGCTGTTCACACATTAGTGCTGATAACGGTGACACTTACATTATGACGGATAATAACAGTTATGATGATGATGACAATGATGGTGGTGAGGGTTTCACTGTCCCAATTTCGGTGATTCGTGCTCTTCTATTTCGAGTTGATTTTGCTCACGCTGAGACGAGGACAAAGCAAAGAAAGTTATCTGTGGGTCCGCTTGGGCCCCCCCCCCGCCCCGACCCCGCGTTAGCACCGCTAAGTTTGCGTGCGAGTTACTCACTCGGAGGAGTCGATGAAGTAGATCACGAGGGTGCCGATGCTGAGCAGGAACACGAAGAACACCTGGTGGCAGATACCAAGACCAAGGTCGCCAGCATCAGCCATTGCCCCGTTCTCAACCCATAGGAGCCAGGGCACTGAGAGACCATCGCTTCACAGAGCGTCCGTATTTAACCGTTATTTAATCAAGGTAAAGTCAGAATTAACCTTTATTTATCCTGGAGAAATCCGATGAGCTATGAAGCTCTTTTTTTATTCACACAGATCTCCAGTAGAGTCGGGTTAGAGCATTACGGACAACAAACGATACAAAAAAAGATAGTGTAATGTGTAGGAAAGGTAAAAACAAACACTAACAATTAATTAATTGAATTGATTCATTATATCAGTTTAAATTGTATACGTACATAAATTCCAAAGCTTGGGCAAGGCAGCAAAACAACAGCAAAAACCGTCCCAGACCACATCAAGACAACATATGGTACCCCAATAAAATTACTCATTAAAATTGAACTATCGATACTCCATGGGTAAGGATGGAATTATTGTATAAGTCGCATTGAGTGTCAAGATTCCTTCTGAGGATAGTTCTGCATTGGGATGTTTCGTAGATATATATTATTAATAGCTTATAGCCATAAGAATGTGGAATTTCCCCTGCTGGCTGAACATGAAGGCAACACGGACTGAGGCACCGAGCGTGATGTCATTGACTTGACTCTTAATCCAAAACAGGAATTGACCCAGACAGCTAACATTTGATGTAAAAGGCGTTCGATGAAATTTGCTACCTCACCAACTTAATTTTTTTAATTGGGCGAAATATTATATTTCATGTGGATTTTGTGCAAAATACCCAGTCAACATTAATTCATTTCTACCGAGAGATATACTGTACTGTATAAAGAATCGGGAAATGTGATACAGTCACCTTCCTATTATGAACACTGTCACTACGCTTTCAATATCTGTCCGGATTGTGATGTTTTGGTATTCGTATTGTTCACAAATATTAAATCTCTTTTGCATGATGGACTTGCAATGCAGAGTGAAGAATTCTTGAACTAACACCAGAGACAAGCCATGTTGAAAACATTTCTTGGAAGTGACATCAATGGTCTCAGCTCGACATCCTTCAATGGTTTGTCTTACCACAACCTCTAGGCAGAGCTCTTTATCTGTGTGTGTGTGGGGAGGGGGTTCTCTTTTTCTGTCTGCCAAAAAATGTATCAGACCGTAGAAGGTGCACTTTAGGTGGATAACCAAATTAGCATTTTTGGTTACCAGACTAAGACCATTCCACTTGAGAACCTGATTTCACTCATGTCAGAGGTGCTGATTCGCTGCACCCAACTTGGCTAATCGTCCCATTGTAATGGTCAACACTGCTGAATTCAACAAACCAAGGAGACAGATCGTGCATGAAAGCATCACATTGCAAAGTCACATATCCTGGCCAACGGGCGTTTTGGACTCCAGCATAACATCTCTCCAGCTATTTAAAGAGTAAAAGTAGTGCTGAGGAGACCCAACTGACATATGCGCTGCCCATACTAATTATGAACGGGTAGCAATCATAACCCCCACGCCCTAGAGTCACTTGGCAGGAAACGGTGGCTCAAAGCTGCCAATGGAGATGAGCACCACCCCATTTTATGCAGGAGACACACGCATCGTTGAAGCCAGCCAGCCTGACATACCTCCGTCAAGTATTTGTTCAAACGAGACCGAATTCGTTATTTTTGTACGCAAACATCTTGGTCCCCACCTGCCAGAGCTGTCGGTCGATGGTGCGTTGCATTCACAGCAATCGCGCACGCGCGTGCTCGCTCGCGCCACGCGCACGCACGCGCGCGCTCGCACGGGCCACGCGCGCGCGGCCGCAACTTGAACGATGAATTACGGGAGCAGAACAATAACCCGCGCTCGCAGCGCCAGCACCTGTTCCTCGCCTGACAGCCCGTTTATATTCAGCGCAACACATGGCTCTCCGTGTGCTACTTTGGAGAATAAGGCCGAGTGATAAATGTGTGAATTCACCGAGGGCTTTGTGGGAACATTGCAGCACGTTTCACAGGGTGACACGGACTGAGCCTGCGCCTTAGAATTATTTCGGTCCCGAAAAAATTAAATGACTCATCTTTGCGTGAAGCTGATCGCATTAACGACACATTTTCAATTCCCGCGCGCCTCTGCTCTTTGTTTATTTAAATCACAATTGAATGCCGGCAACTGGCGGTTGAGGGCCGCGTCGCGTTATTAGCGTTCTCTTTGGAAACGCACAAGGATGGATGGCACAGGGGCGGAGCGCTTGATTCACAAATGGAAGTTGAAGTCCTAGTTCGAGCTGGAGTCCATCATCACGGAGAGGTGACGATGAACAAAAAGTCACAAACACCTCGTGAAAAATCTCGAGCTTCGATGTTCCGCGGAGCTTTTGGGCCACAACCCTAAACTGCATCCACTACACAAACCATGGCAGCTGATGCGGATACTGTACTTGATGCGTAAATGGAAAATTTAAAACTCTCCGGTGTGTGACTGTGGTCACCCAGAAGAGATTATGGAACATATAATGAAGAAGAAGACGTCAATAACATTAAAACTAATGTGTGGGGTTGTCCTTCAGAAAGATTGGAATCTCCATTATGTGCGCGTGCCCACTGCGTGACGAGGCAACCACTAAATTACGCTCTATTTGAGAAGAGCGGCACATGAGTCATTGAGCATGCAGCTTTCTACACTTCATCCTTGTCGGAATCGCAGCGAGATGCAATGTGAAGCCTTTCCCTCAACACATCCCCAGCAGCCTGCAAATACATGACTGTGAATATTTCAGAAGACACGGGTACGTTTGCATTTCCTTGCCCTACACGAATGTTTCCGTTGCTTCACAGAGGCGTGTTGGAATCACAGTAAGTTAAGTGGCACAACTGATATTCTTGGTTAAATCTGGACAGCCACCCATGATTAAAGTGAGCCTCTCTGGTCGGTCACCAATGACTGCAAAGAAGAAAAAATCTCATGAAATTAGATTTTTTATCTTAATTTCCAGCTTTGAGTTTAAAAAGATATACATGTATGTGTAAGTTTGACTGTCAGAAATCGTGGGAAAGTGCTCTGCTCAGCTTGTGCATTATAAAGGTCACATGAAGAGCGATCTCAGAAATAGTTCTGTGAACTCTCCAACGCAGGGTGAAGAGAGTTCAAAATCGATCCTCAGTCCCATATAATGATGCTGACGGCACAGTTGGAATACAAATGCGTTAACAACAACACGAATTACATGGTAAAAAAAAGCCTCCATATTAAATTAATAAAATTTAAATCGTAAAATAACAGCAATAAATTAACAAGATAAAATCCGTTTCATTAATGGACCTCATGCGCCAACGTTTTCCAGCAAGCATTTACAAATTCAAATTGCAAGCATACAAAAATGCAAACTTTCTGACTGGTTTTAACTGTCTGAGTCTCATCAGCAGAGCGTGGCATTTTAAACAAATGCCACCGTGGTTGCCATGATGGCATTGGCAAGAATCCGCCAGGGTCACAGTCTGGGCCTGTTGGGCCGCAGTACGGCAAAATAGTACAGAATTCATTTTTGCATTGCAATAGGCGGTGCACCTTTGTGTGTACGTATACATTTCAAGTTTAAACTTGTAATTAAAAAAAAATAAAATGAATAATAAATGTAAAAATTAAACATTGGTGTTTTTTCACGTCTAGATTGCTAAAAATATAATACATCTCAATGGCCTTTTGCATTGGTCAAACAAAGCACATTATAAATAATTCAATTTAATTTATTTGTGTCCTTGCATGACTCGCTTCATAACATGTAATAATTTAGCTGCCTACTATTACGGTATTCCTGGCCTTCCCTCCAAGGTAGACACACAAATGAAAATCATCAGTCACGTGATGCCCTCGGGCCATTTTAAAGTCAGTAAAGGGGCGACTGTGGCACACGAAAGAGATCCATCAAGGGAGGCGCTCCCTTCCTGGAGCGCTGAGGGGAGTGCCACGTGCCCTGCGATGGCAGCACCAAGTGCAAGTGCCTCATCGCTCTTGAGGGTGACGCTATACGATGGCGCGTTCACCGCTTCTTGCAACCGTTCACGGTTCAAATAGAGTGGCCGCTCAGAAATGAAGACTGCGCAAGTTTGAAGATCATATCGCATCATTCGCAGGATTAGAACATTGTGTGTTACCGTACTGGTGTCATGGTCCAAAATTGAAAACTCGTCCGCAAAAAAATAATTTGGAATGTATGTGGCAATCACCGTCCCCTACTGCGAAAATAAGGTCCCTCAAAAAAAGTCTGGAATCTCAGACTTTTCTACCTAAACAAGCATAATAACAATAATAACTTGAAACGGCTGATTATTGGCTGCACAGGACCGCAACTCATTATTACCTTCTCACTCAGAAAAGTGACTTTAGAAAAGAAATATAGCAAACTTTATGGAGCATTCTCTTAGATTTTTCCTAATCACTGCACAATGCTACCTAATAGGTGTCACTGTCAAGGAACACATCAGCCGCACGGCCTTCTGAGAGGGCATAATTTAACTCGCATTGTTTCAATGCAAATTCAGTCAACTCTGGACTGGTTACTAATGAGTTGTGTACGAAATATTTTCATTCTTGACTGCTTATTATTTTATGGGACCTTTCTTGCCATTATTAAAATATAACAATAGGTTTGACCCTATCAGTTTCAAAGACAACGCATATATAATTATCAGAGCACGTTTTTTGTTTGCATGTTCACCACAAGTACGTGTGGTTAATGCAGACAAGATTCCTTGAATAAGGATTCTGTTTGGTGTTTTAATATCTTGACACCTGTGAGACCTCCTTTACCAGTGGCAAAATATAGTAGTAGGTTTTTACCCTTTAAACTGGTACAAAAACTGATACCTTTATTTTGTTTGCATTTTGACTGCTTGTGTTGTGGTTATTGCAAACATGATGCCTTGTATAAAGGTGTCAGTTTTTGTACCAGTTTAAAGGGTAAAAACCTACTACTATCTTGACACCTGTTTTATTGGCAGAAATGGTAAAACCTATTGTTATGCTTATTATTTTGTTATTTATATTCTCCATAATGACGCTCATAATTATTTTAAGTTAAACATTACTGTATCGTTTAGCACCCCATATCGTAAATAGATGGTCCTTGCCTACAAGATCGAAAGTTCACATATATTGATTCAAGCAAGCCTTTCCTGATGAGGTTCAGGGTTTGCTGGTCATGAAACACACAAGGACGTGCAGATGATGGGTTGTGTAAGAAACACTTTTTTTATGTGGAGTGATGGACATATGAAGGAGACGTGTCGCGTGCCTATGTATTTTGTTCTGTTTGCAAACAGCAGCTACTGCTATGCCCTTTCCCCACGAAACCGCGATGCGCTGCATTCAGTGATGCCCAAAGACATTCAACGAGAGAGAGAGAGAGAAATTAAGGGGCAGGCTCAATGCTTGCGAGGAGCCGAGCGCCACTGACCAGCACGCGTCCCGTCTGCGTCTGTGCGGAGATCATGACCCCGGCCCAGTCCTTGACGGATGTCATCCACCCAACCTCGTTCATGTCCATCTCGGCCACACGCTCCACACCTCCCTCGAAGCGCGGGTCCTGGTAGGAGCCTCCCTGGAGCCGTCCCTCCGTCGACACCTTCTGCATCGGCGAGAAACGTGTGATGGGCGAATGTGCAGATATCAAGGTTAAGAGAAGATTATAGATTTAGATAGATACATTTAATTTATTTCGCCAGGAAGGACCCGATGAGCTGTGGGGCCCTATTTCATGGGCGTCCTGCAACGGTACAGATGTCACTACGCAGTACAGATGTCACTACGCGGCACAGATCGCAGTTGTTTGCGAGAGCCTAAAGAGGCCAGCACAGAACTATACATTGATTGAGGGGGTTGGTGTGGTGAGCACTGTGCCCAACTATATTTGTCTACTCCTCAGCGACGTTGACCCGACTGCGCCGAGCGCACATGTTTTTTTAAAGGAGGTCCAGCCCAAGTCCACATTGCGAACACCCAATTATTCAAACCCACATCACGGGCAATATAGAGCACTGCTTGCAAACAGCAACCCATGGCAGTGCTCAACGTATGGCACGGAGACAAACAGCATTCATCGCATGTCACACAAACATAACACGGATCACGTACACAGAATCCGCTCCATAGTGTTACAATAATGACTACCTTCAGAGCACCTTTGCACGGGACATTCCGAACACGTTAGCACCTGTTTTGAAAGATGACACTTTACTGGAAACGTGAAAGGACTAATAAAGCAAAGTTGACATTATAAATTCAGTAAGTAAACCGGGTGACTTGCCGTAACGAGCATCATGCTTGACTTTCATGAAACAATAGTAATTTATGATGTATTCTTAGGTTTTTTTGATAGTCACGTAGGTAAAAACATAAAAAAGTAAAATAAAATAAAAATCACGTTTCGGAGGCAACACAAGCTTCCGTCTTCAGGTGGTACCGTCACAGCCACGACAGCTGTATCAAGTAAATGAGAGATTGCAGGAGCTACCACTCCTTTTATATAATGGTTGGAGACGGTGGTGGGGCAAGGGCCGCATACTTATTATTAATATGGTAAGGTGAGGCTTAAGACTAAGAATAGACTGCATAAAAAAACCTAAGAATATGAATTATTGCAGTCACGAAAGCTTCAAATCTAGAACTTATGATGTGCCAAATCAAGACACACAAGTACTTCGTAAACACTCGCTACGAATGTAAAACATATCTGCTGACAGCCAGTGCTATTCTGTACACATGCCGATTATGAGCCTAGCTAGTATTCACAAAACATACATTTTCAGCCATTTGTGAATCTACTGCCGGAGAAAGGATTCCTGTCAGCGAGAGTTGCTATGTCAGCGAGAGTCGCTATGTCAGCGAGAGTTGCTATGTGATCCTCCTTCAACACGCTGGTCAGTGGAGGTTGGTGGCCCATGTAGCATGCTCCAACATCAACACATCTTGAAGGTCATTCAACGCGTTAGGTCCTCTCCTTTATTGACTTTCCACCAGGTGGAGCAGCCTCAGCAGGTGATGTTCAAAGTGCCCACCCCGAATAGCCACCCTGTAGCGTGATTTTGTTTAAAGGAGGGATACATACAAAGAAATACGAGAAAGAGTGACGGCACAACTTGCTTTTGTCTATCGGGCATCCTGATCTAGCTCTCACCCAATCTATTTATGAGGAAATGTTGGACCAATATTTGTTTTGACTTGACAGTAAGAATTCGGAAGGGGGGCTGAGCCCTCAACAGCTGGGGGGTTCCTCAGACCCCTCCAGCACCCCCCACGCCCCACTCCCCGTGACCTTCCCAATGCTACAGGGCTGTGGGTCACCACAGCTATGGTGGCGAGATGTTAACTACCTCGCCTGGTATGCAGGAGGCCGTGGCTTCAATCTCGACTCTTGACACATGTATATTTGGAGTTTGCATGTCTCTCTCCCCATGGCCACGTGGATTTTTGTCCGGGTCCTCCGGTTTTTCCCTCCACATTTAGAATCAACGTGCGTTTAAGAGTATTTGGCTGCTATAAATTTCCACGTGATAATCCACTTCGTTCAGCTATCATTTGTGATAGCCAGGGTGCTTTTGAAAAATAGCTATATAGCTCAGTGGGCCTTACCTGCTAAAAATGTTTAAAAAATAGTTAAATAGATCCTGATGAGGGTTTCAATTTTTACTTAAAGCTTGGGTTTAAAGTAATTGTTTTTGCAATAAGGCGTCGCTGTGGCTCCAACTGACTACTGCGCAGGCAACACTTCACAATAATACTGACGTAGGGGGCAACCCTAGACCGGGACCAATATCATCGTGAAGTCGCACACGCCGTTAGGCAGCATTAAAGAAGAAGAAGGGGCAACCCACAGCTAAGCCACTCTCCAGACTGGTTCTCATGAGGCACGCAATATATTCTTTCACAGATTTCAGGATCAACAGTTCTCTCAGAGTCGTGAACCGTGGGTAAAAATCTAATTTACAGGGATTAGCAGATTATTGGAATGAGGATAATTTTTGAAGTTTATGCTTGTATATCGGCTTGCAAGTACGGTCCACAATATTCTCATTTAGCAAACAAAATGTGAGAAATTTTTTACAGAAATGCTGGAAAAGCTGACAAACCCACGATGATTTTGACGGGATGTGAGGTGTGTGAACGTGACAGAACTAGGGATTGTAAAGCACTGAAAAAATACGTCTCAACAATAGGTAGCCAGACCCATCATCACACTGGCAGAAATAGCTGCATTAAGGGTCACGGTCTCATCCTAAATTGTGATTGTTAGATAATTGCAAAAGGTCTTTTGTCGAAGTGGAATGATTCCTTGTGCTGAAATAGCTACATGCCATATAATATAAATTGTAATATTTACCCAGGGAATCCTCACTGTCTGCCAGATCACTTTTTTTACAAGAAGCTGCTGCAATTGGGATTTTTGTCCAGCCCCATTAACAATGAGTGTTTGGCATGCGGGAGGAAACTGGAGAGACCAGAGAAACCCCACGCGAATAACAAGGGATAAGACTCAACACTGTCATTTCCTGGCAAGCTCCAGTGGTCACCCATCCATGGACTAAACTGGCTCTTGCCTGCTCAGCTTCTGAAAAGGCAAGGCACATTTAAGGTAGTTTGGTTGTAAGCAAACGCATACTCACATCCGTATTTTTTTTAACAACATGAGACTCTGCTGAGACAAAATATGTTTTTGCAAGGGAGACCTGGATCACTATGTATACAGTAAACATGCAAATGAATAACACAATATAATGAAACTCATAGACACAAATGTATATAAATGCGTACATTGAAAACAAGTACATTATTTCGTGATGTTGCTGCTGTGTTGGCAGTGGTGCGCAAGCACAGGTTATAACAACAACTAAACACTCGACACATTCATCAACAACACTGTGGCCTGAACAATAAACAAATATATAATAGGTGATGTTCCGAGCAATGGCCCTTCTTTAAAAAACGTAAAAACACGTAATATATCATTTGTATGTGCCATGAAGAAGGATAATTGCTCTAAACATTGCACATATATATTTAGTTTAGGGCCACAGTGCTATTGACGAATGTGCTGAGTATTTCCATCGATTGAATACACGCGACACATTCCCTGCACACCACAGTGGGGACGCTGCTAATATGCTGTGGTTCATGGCTGTTATAACAGAGCACTGTAACCTTAATAAGCATAGGGGATGTGGTGGGTACTCCATAAGGTTAATAGGTACCATATTCAATCAGTGAGTGGCTCGCTATGGAGCAGAGGAGCTGCTGCCTTCTGCAGTTAAATCAAACAATAAAGGCTGAAATGCGTGCCAAGCAATTATATATACCCTCTACACATTCAGAACTGAAAGTCACAGCCGGGCTCTCACACTCACACAACATGAGAGAATATTAACATCGAAGGTAATACACTAGCTCTGTTGTAAACAATAATCAATATACAAATAAACAGTGTGACACCCATTGGGGCATTTCATATGTTTTGTTTGCTCGAGGCCAAACAGATACATATGCTATAATAATAATATTAACAGCATTAAAGGTTTACACTTAAGGGTTAAGAGTTAGTGTACTGTGTGTACCCCTATAGGTTGTGGCACACCAGAGGTCTGTCCCTCTTGGGAGTAATCGAGCGATGAATCCGGTGCCTGGTCGGTGTTTGTGTGTAAAGGTAACGGTGCAGCCCGGCATTACTGGGTTGTTCGGATTCTAAGAAGCTATTTGTTCCCAAGCACCCCCTCTGTGTCACCCTATATGTTGCACCCTTGTGCCCCGCTTTCCTGCGACGTCATTTTCTGGGGAAAAGACATTTCTGACCGACTCCAACTTTTGCGGCGGTAAGTTTCACTTCCCGGAGAGTCTGTTGTGAATCTCACCACTGCTGACAGGAAGGCCTTCATATTCTTAGGTTGTTTTCTCACTGTTTATTAGGAAGGCCTTCACCATAAGAGATCAAAGCAAAGGCTTCGAGTGTCAAGCAGCTCTGCTATGTATGTCTTCGTGTTTTAGTTCCTATTAATTGATTTAAAAAAATATTTCATCCGAATGATCCCTTGAGGGTGGGAGATCTCGTTTGCAAAGGTGACCTTGGTGTCAAGTGACACACACTCACACACCATAGCAAACAGGTATATCCTGTGCTAACAAACATTTTGCAATCTGCAACATGTAGATGTTACAGATTCGTTCATACAGCGTCAACGGGACGAGGCAGCCACTGCGGTTACTTTGAATATCTCTCACCTCACTACCTCTCTATTTTTCATCAACATTCCTCTTATCTCGCTACACCCACATCTCGTCTTGTCATCTCATCTGGGCCCTTTAAATTTAGAGGCACCTCCCCCAATGTTGCTAGACACCACGACCGAGCGATGCAGCAGCAGACACCACGGCTGAGTCTCTGGGTACCCATGTCAATCTTGCAAAATGAGACTGATAGCTAGATTTTTAACACCAGATTTTATTCTATCACAAAGCCTTTCCCCTTGGGCTGGCTTTTCCAATAGCGGGTCCTTTCCAATTCCCACTTCTTTAGCTTTTCAGTTGACAAAACACGGAGGGAATGGGATTATGGTCGAATAATAATTTTAACTTGTAATGCACCGACCACATCGTTCTCTCGCTCTCAAGCAGAGAGAAAGAACGACTCGGCGACGTGAAGAGGAACCACAGACAAGCGGGAAGGCAGCAGTGTAGCAATCTGTAGGGCTGGCGCCAACAATTGCGTATTAAGGTGTTATTAGACAAATCGTGAGTGTTCATATTTCGGAGGAAACCGGAGCGCCCGGAGAAAACCCACGCGTGTGAGAGGGCAACACTCGATCCCAGACAGACGGAACAGGTGGAGTCCACATGTTTTGCTGCACTGCCCTCTCGTGGCGAGCCAGGGTTGCGGCTCCTCCTCGACACCCACGGGAAGGGAGTTTCGCGGCATCTGTGCGGCGACCCACCAAGCCTCGTTGCTGCCTCCACAGCAGACGTCGCAACCGGGTACCCGATATCCGTACCCTACCCGATACCCGGCTACCCGTACCCGGCTACCCGTACCGGTACCCGTTTGCGACCCTGGTGCGGCCGGGTACGGGTAAGGAATCAAAACCCGTTTGCGACCTCTGCTCCACAGTGCTGGGTTAGGTGCTAGCTTAGGGTGTATAGGTTGGCGTCATGGTTTAGGGGTTAAGAGTCAGGATACAGGGGTAGAGGAAGTCTTGCATAAAACGGCAGTCTTACACAATGTGTACATAAACATACCAGTGTAATGTATACATAATGTATCATACGTGTGATACAAGACGTAACTGAACAATAATGTGAAATATACACGACTCGGCTGTTTAAAGCCCTGAGCCAGTGCTGGAAAGTCCACATTCCTATGGCGGGGATGAGTTATTGCATAGGACAGCCACTGCTGACTTAACACAAAGTGTTAATTGTTTAATCGACCCCGAAGTTGTACACTACCGTATATGGTATACAGTATATATTCAATATACTGTACAGGGTGTTGTAAAAAGATGTACCCAATTTCAAAGCAGTATATTTCACGATGGCAACATGTTACAATTACGCAAAAAGTTACAAATGGTTTAATGAGTTATCAGGTTTTACTAACCATTTTATAAATGCTCTATGTGCCCTCCACCTGCTGTACGGACAACATCGAGACGATTGTTGAATTCGTCCCAAACGCCTCTCAAAGTGTCTTCTTCCACTGAAGTCACCGCTGCCGTGATTCTGTTTTTGAGGTCATCCAGATTAGTCGCTAATGGTGGCACAAAACAACACGGTCTTTGACGTCTCCCCACAAGACAAAGCCGCAGGGTGAGGTGATGTCTGGGGATCTTGGAGGCCAAGAGTGTAGCGCCAAGTCTTGGGGTCCCGTGCGACCTATCCAACGTTGAGGCAGTGTGTCTTGCGAATGACTGAGGCTAGGGGCTGTTTGTGCACTGGGAGAGGCATCATTTGAAACTCTATCCCCCGCCCTTTCAAGTGGTAAGAGTTTCATTCATGGGCGGTTCGTGGTTGCAAATATTTAGCGATTTCAAATCGGGTCCATCGTTTTAAACACCCTGTATAACATGTACGTCTATACGCTATTGCATAGCACATGCGCTGTGCGTATAACGTAATAAGCTGCGTTGTATCGCTGTAACTCTATGTATAAGCAACCTACATATTGTCTTTTCCTACACACAGCAACACAACGTGAATTGAATTGTTGAGACTCTACGGAAACATATTACAGACCGCGTTCGGTGCATGCCCACAATCGGATTGCGTGTGGGTCGCGTGCCACGGCGGTGGTCGTAGCGGGGCTGATGATTAGAGCCCACGTTGTGTACTGCCTATGGGTATTGCCCACGATGTACGTGACAACAAAGGCTGTAGTGGAGTGTATGCAACAGCGCCTAGACACATGTAACGTATGTAGTTGATATGGTCACCCCATGGTATGGAATGTGTAGTTCTGTGTGTCATGTGCTCTGTGATGCTGTGACAGGCTGAACTGGACTGTCGATATATAGAGCCGAGCTGGGTCCGATAGACCCTGCATTGTATGCGTGGCATGTGCCTTGTACAATATATGCAGAAACAGGCTGGAGTGTGTGTGTGTGAGACTGTATGATGCTCAAGAGTCTAGCTCCAGAGCATCATACAGTCACACACTGCTTCACAAACGGTGTGTCGCTATGCTTTCGAACTCATCCACGGACACACGGACAATGCAATAAAATAATTAACACATAGACACCCAGATGTCAACGCAACGTAAGACATGCATGTACAGACACAGAGACATTGCAATGAAACAATTGACAGGCGCACAGACAATTGAAGTAAACAATGGACAGATAGAGTTAAATACAATGATTAACGAACACATAAATGAACGTAACATGAGACATCGGCGTTGAAAATGGACACAGTAAACAGATGCAGAAATTAAAATAAATAGACGAACAGACGGCTGTCCTAACAATTACCAATTGAACACACACACACCCACCAAACGCACCCACAAAACACACACACCCACAAAATGCACCCACAAAACACACACACACAAGTGCCCCCTCTTAGTGCATCGGCCGAGTCGGGAGCCCCAGTTCCCCGGGTGAGGAATTGAACCTGAGACCCACGCGTCTGCGGCTCCCATTGAGTAACCGCGACGAGGCCTGGGGGGGGGGGGGCGAACACGCGGTGATCGAGGAGCAGAGAGCGACACACACGACGCGATAGTGGACATTCCACGTTTCCATGACGGCACCAGGCGCGCCCGTAGCGGCACGAGCGCAAGCACGCAACATCGTCGTCGGACATGATCAATCCACTGCTGGATGAAGGGCCCACAGTGATGTTTTTGGTTCGGTGTGCCGCTAAGATCGAGCGTGTACTCGCTCGATCGATACTCTTCGAGGATCGACTACCACAGAGGCCGGGTGCTGTGTGACTCTAGATCGTGGAGACCAGGGGCCAGCAACCAAAATAACAAGAAGAGCCACCCTTTTCGAATTCGGTGAAACCAAAAAATCACTCTAATTTCTTTCAAGAGCCGCAATGCACGTGGCGAATACGAGACGGTGGCCTTTTGAAAACTAACGTCACGAAGCGAACAGGAGTAGTAGTACAGACACAAAGACCCCCGTGCAGCCTGTAACAGACTGTTGGGTCAAGCGCTGTTAGCGAGCAGCACCTATGAAGGCTGGCACGGCGCACGAGGGGGTGGGTGGCCAGCACCACGCCCGGCCGCCTTTGTCTCCCCAGTGGCGATGTTTACTACACACCGCACCGGGTACTCGCTTGAGGCTGAGTCTACCTAGGGGAGACGGCCCAGCGACCGGGCCCAGCTAACGGTCACCGGCGTTGGTGGTGACCGCGAGCGGGAATCGAACTCGGGTCGCCGGGTTCGTAGGCGCAGCGCGCACGCCAGCCTACGAACACTCGCGGGACGGCAGCGTTGGTGGTGGTGGCGGTGGTTGTGGTGGCGGCGTTGGTGGTGGTGGTTGTGGTGGTGGTGGCGGTGGTTGTGGTGGCGGCGTTGGTGGTGGTGGTTGTGGTGGCGGTGGTGGTGGTGGCGGTTGCGGTGTGGGGTGCGCACCTTGTGACTGCGGGCGCACGCCCTGCAGCACCACGTCCACACGCAGTGCACGCCTCGCCACGCCACGATGGCGAGCAGGCCACCGAGGAAGGTGACGAGCGACGAGGCGAGGAAAGCCCACCACATGCGCTGCTCGGGGTCGCACACCGCCGCCTGAGCCTCCGACTGCTGCGACAGGTGCACGGGCTCGGCCAGGCTCCAGTTGAACAACTCCCCGCGAACCCCCCCGCCGCCGCCGGGGCCCCCCTTCTTCGCGTCCTGCGATGTCGAGGCGGCTCTCCTCCCGACCCCGCGCTCGGCGCCGATGCCCAAGCCCACATCTGCGGCGGCCGCGGCAGGCGCGAGCAGCCCCAGCCTCAGGACGGCTGTCGCCGACGCCGCCACCGTCGTCATGATGATGAACTCCATCATCATCATCGCCGTCATCTTCGCCACTGCCGATCACTGCTGCGCTGCGCGCTGAGGAGCGTCAGCCGTCGACATAGCGCGCGGCGCGATGATGACTGCCCCCACTCGCCGGGCACTGGGTCTCACTCCGCGCTCTCTCCCGCTCGGCACGCACGCGCCCCTCCCGTCACCCCCACCAGCCCCCCAACACGTGTGTGTGTCTGTGCGCGCACGTGTGTGTGTGTGTGCGCGTGTGTGTGTCTGTGCGCGCACGTGTGTGTGCGCGTGTGTGTGTACTCGTGGGTGTGCGCGTGTGTGTGTGCGCGTGTGTGTGTGCGCGCACGTGTGTGTGTGTGCTCGTGGGTGTGCGCGTGTGTGTGTGCACGTGTGTGTGTGCGCGCACGTGTGTGTGTGCGCACGTGTGTGCGCGTGTGTGTGTGCGCGCACGTGTGTGTGTGCTCGTGTGTGTGCACGTGTGTGTGTGCGCGTGTGTGTGTGCGCGCACGTGTATGTGTGCTCGTGGGTGTGCGCGCGTGTGTGTGTGCGCGCGTGTGTGTGTGTGCGTGCGTGTGTGCGTGTATGTGTCCGCTAATGTGCGTGCGTGTCTTTGTAAGCCTGTGTGCATTGTTTTGTTATGGGGAGGAGGGGTAGCGCGTAACGGTGAGCGCGCACTGGGATACGACACCCGGCGACCCGAGTTCGATTCCCGCTCGCGGCCAACACCAGTGACGATTATCTGAACCGGTCCTGGGCCTCCCCTAGGTCGACTCAGCCTTTAATGAGTGGCTGGTGTTATGTATAAGAGTCACCACAAGGAAGACAAAGACGGCCTGACGTGGCGCTGGCCACCCACCCTCTCGTGTGCCGTGCCGGCCTTCATCAGTGAACTCACTCGGAGCACTTTCGCCAACCTTTAGTGAAAGGCTACACGGGGGATCTTTGCATTTATTTTATCATCGTTATTAGCGCCCCGCGATACGATCCACGAATCCCTGGATCACCTGCCGCCCACGCATCAGTGGCCATCGTTATCCCAACCTTACCCGGGGCGCCCCCCTAGGTCGACTCAGCGTAAAATGATTTGCGTTGACAGCAGTGGACTATGAAAGGTGCGCACGCGTGTGCTTGCTGCCCATGAGCACGTACCCCGAATAGGCGCTCGCTAACACCACTTGGCACTCAACCGGTCGAATCATACTAGAGCCATATACTTATCCAGTTACACGTTGGAAAGTCATTCAATGCAATGGTTAACCAATTCATAGTAGGTGATGTTTGCAAAATGAGGTAATGGATATTTGTTTGAACATAAAACCTGGCAGGGTTCGATTTCTAGTACGACGGTAACGCACTTCGTCCGTGAAAATCGCAAACAGCGATCTGTCAAACGTTATCCAGGTGCACGGGTTTTGTTTGGGAGCGATGGAGTGGTGGTTAATTTTACCAGCCCAACACATAGAAGCCTGGATCCTGGGTTCGATCCCTATTCAAGTATACAGGCATTCTCCTTTAACGAGCGATCTTTCAGCGATAATTCGCTATAACGAGCACTTTGAATTTAGACCCATTTGTTCACAAAACGAACAAAATGTTCGTTTAGCGAGCGGAGACCTATCGATGATCGAAAGCGCCCCGTGGCGGCAAGTGGGCGCAAGGCGGCCCGCGGCTGTTTGTTTACCAGCTGTGCTGTGCCCACGTGTCTCGTCGTCGTGTGGGTGGAGGTTGCCCTCGTGGTGGCACTGCAATGGGTGGGTTGGGGGGAGAGGGTGGGTGGCAGCGTTTCGTAGACGAGGACAGGAAGTCGCCGCGCTCCATCTCGCATCCCTGCATCGCCTCTCCGATTGGCTAGGTATGTTGCGAAAGAAGTTAAACATATATCCATAGTGGCTATGAACCCAGCAACCCTGGTTCGATACCCAGCCACGGCTAACATCAGTGGCGAGTGACATTTGAACCAGCGGTCGTGCGTGGGCACACTGCTGCTGCCTCCACCCACTAACATCATCTACCCTTCAAACAACGTAAATGGCAGGCACCTGCAAGCACTCTGGTTACATTTGATGTTTTATTACTTTATTTTAACATTACAATTTGTGTTTCTTACGTTAAAAAAGCTGTTCAAGAGTGGATTTTTTGTGGAGCTGAAACGTAGCTGACCTTTTTAACATGGGAATCAATGGGAAAACGATGGTCGTTTAACGAGTTTTCTCTTCCCAAGCAACCTTCAGTGGAACGTATCTCGCTCGTTCAGCGAGACACGCCTGTATTACCAACAACCACTGTTACAAAAATCGCATCTGGGTGTCCCCTTGATTCACTTTGCTCAAATAGGCACATGATGGTGTGCTCATGAATACAGGCAATCCTCGACTTACGTACGAACGGACTTCCAAAATATATTTATTTTGTAACCATCCGACTTGCGAACGTGAACTCGCACTTGCGAAACCGAAGCGCACAACTATTTACAGTGTTACATGCAAATGCACAATATGTCTTATCATTTATGAGTTGAACAATGCTTCCGTTTTTGTTCAACCTTGCCACATTTTATAACACTGACCGTATGGGCATTTAAATAGAGTGAGTGTTCCGACTAACGAACCACTCGACTTACAAACGGGACCCAGGAACAGAACCCGTTCGTAATTCGGGAACTGTCCGTATTTACATTAGAGAGATTAAAGCGGGTTTCGTTGTGCGTTGGTTCTGACCACACCTAAGCCACGTGTTCTGTGCCCGGCTTTGATAGGTACTCGTTAGCAGCACTCTCTGAGCCAAGCGTGCAGCATCAAGCAGGCATCTGCTTTGTGCTCAGGCACATTGCTGCTCTGTCTCTGCGGAGCAAGCGCGCTTGATGCACGTTCTGTTTAAACTATATTGAGATCAAAGCGATAAGCATACAATACACACAAATATAAACCTGTCTGCAGCCCACGCACTACACTCGCATCGATATAATAACCGGAGATAGTAAAGCACAGGCGACTTAAATAGCCAAACGAGCTCGTAAATCACTGCTGTCGATATCGTAATGATTGCTTCCTTGCCCGTATATAATTCTTGTATTTATATAGTACTGTATGTGTATCTGCTGCTATCCCGACCGCCTATTCCCACCACCACGTGGCCACTGCCTCCTTGCACACACACCCGCGTGCTCTAATTAACGGCGAGAACCTTGGATTACCCATTGCATTGGCTGATAATGAAATCTCGGCGGAGTCTCGCCTGAACTCGGCTCGCTCTCCATCTCACGACTCAATCATTAGCGTCGTTATGGAAACCGTAAATAACAATAAATAAGCGGACAATATGTCGCCTCCACATATAATTCGTCTCTCCACATAAAGCAAAACATATATTATTTACACAACCCTTCTGGGAGTGCATAATTTCAGCAGCATTGTTTCAAGATGAGCAAATCTCTGGACCAGTTTCGATATACAGAATATAAATAACAAAATAAATAGGCAGGCAATGTCTCCTTCACATATATTCTCCACAGCAATGACACTTAATGATTATTTTGAGTTGTGTGGATTAACTATATAATTTTTCAAAGAGACTGAGACCCCAGATCATACAGTTATAAACGACTGGTAGCTCACCACCGTTTGATTAAAGCAAGCCGATGAGACACCTCACAACACAAGTATCTATTTGCAAAAGCGATATTGGACCTTACACACATTGAATCTATCTGAATGGGCGCTTGGCTAAAAACCAAGGTTCCTACTTAAGAAAGAGATAATCCACTTGAATGGACTCTAGTTGACTGGCCAGGTCTGCTTTGCAACACAGTAGTCCCTCGGTTAACAGTAGACATCGGTTAACCGTTTTTCGGTTAACGTTTTTCCATCCCATAGGACCCCATGGTTTCGATTAACGTTAACATGCGTGACTAGCGGTATGTTTACGTTATGCATGCGGGGCGACAATTTCGGCCAATCCGAACGCTCATAAGTGGGGCTGAGCCATGCCTTCAACCAATCAGCGACGCCTATTTATAAGCGTTAAGACCTCGACTGCCTTTGTTTACATGATATGCTGTCTGTTTTGGCAGTGGAGAACATATCTCTTGCAGACTCGTCGATTTGTACTTATTTTTCAACTTACAAGTGCATTCTATAAACAGTCTTCTTCTTTCACATGGCATGTAAGCAACAGTTTGTATAGACGTCATAATTGAATGTTATGGTCCTTCAACCAATCCAAGGCGGCAGTAGATGCTGTATGGATTACAGAAATTCTGCCAGGGTGTGCATGGATGGCACACTCGTCAGTGACGTGTTTGATGATTTGGGCTTTACCACAGTCGCAGATTGGTGAATCTTTGATTTTTCATTTATGGAACGTGGACGCGCATCTCCCGTGTTGCGTCCGAGCGTGGTTCAGTGCGGTCCACAGCCGTCGTGAGAGAGAGAATCCCGGCACTTCCACGGTCAGGTCCGCAATGATGTTTTTGTTTTCCACGTTCAAAGCCGCCGACCCTTCAGACCATAGAGTGCTGGTATATTTATATTTCAGCTGCCAGAGCAGAGGCTCATATCCAGAGAGGCTTTCTGGACTTAAGCCGAGGGTATTGGGGGTTCCTTTATGTCTCGGTGGAGCGGCAGGGCGAAGTTTTCCACGATATTGTTTTACTCCTGGATTGTCGTGACATCACCTCGGATGTTGGCTGGAGCGATGTTGGCCAGCACGGGAAGCCACGGGAGCGGAGTGGACTTTAGGGTGCAGCTGATGATACGAAGTGCGGTGTTAATTTCGACGTCGACGAGGTTTGTGTGAGGGCTGCCACTCCTCACTGGAGCATAGTACTCTGCTGTAGAGTGGACCAAGGCCTGCGTGCGGGCGTCACTTCCCCACATCTGTTCCCGCGAGTTTCTGTTTCAGGTTCACTCATGCTTTGCTTCAATTTTGCCTTGTTCAAGGTGGCGCCGGTAGTCGAACGTCCGGTCTACGGTAACTACCAGGTACCGAGGGTGGTGGTTGTGTGTTCGTAGTGTTCCGCAGAAGTTGACATTTAATGTTTTAGTAGCTTGCCTGTTGTTGAGGTGGAAAATTGGCAACGACGCTCTTGGAAGTGTTTGGCTTTAGGCGCCAATTCGTCAAGTATGCTTCTGGGCTTGGGTTGCCAGTGCAATGTCGTCCACGTACGTGAACTTGTCGCTGGTGTAGAGATTGAACAGCACTGGGGCTAGAATAGATCTCTGCGGGAGTCCACTCTTCAATCTTCGTGGGCTTCTGACAGCCCCACCAAGGTGGACGGTGAACCATCGGTCGCTCAGCATTTCGGTGATGGGTCTGA